ACACTAAACAGTCCGACGTCCGATGTTCTCGTTCTTGTTCGGGCGCTGGTCTAGCCATGTCTGTGCAGTTCGCCTCCGACCTGCTGGGACTTGTTAGAACATTGGTCTGCAGTTATTCTCCTGAGGCTTCCTCGCAGATTGACCTAGCCTTCACCACGATGCGAGTCTCGAAGCAGTAATTGAAGTGCAGAGGGTGATTGTCTTAACGCCCTAACACGCCAGGAATGGTGTTTCTCACATCAGCAGCTCCTTCACCGTCACCTATACTACGTGACGGTACAACAGCCGTTCCGGCACTGGCCTTGTCAGATGCTTGAACGTGGTGTGCTGTGCCAGCTAGCGCCAAGGGTGGCTGCGTATCAAGCTTCTGATCTTAGTTGCCGATCCTGCAGCTTATTCCCAGCGAGTCTTGTTCGTTTATTGACCCTGGTACAGTCGCAAGCTAGCCGTGTCAGAAGGGAGTGTTGACGGGCATGGCAGCTCGAGGCGAAAGCTAGATCATGATGGGCATTGATGGCAAAGCCTGCTTCTTTTAAGTGTTGGTAGCGGGGAGTTAGCGGGAGCGGAAGTTTTTCTCCTATTCTGGTTCTTCCTGAACGCTCGGACGCGTCTTTGAGCTGAGGTTGATGTGGGCAGTGGAAACATCAAAACATGCGGCAAGCTGCATGCTTCCGTGCGAACCTCCTATTCTTGGAAGAGCTTTAAATCAAGTCTTCAAGGCATGACTCGACCGCGGTAAGATTTACCAAACATCGATTGAGTTCGTATCTCGATCATGACAGTTCCATGGCTCTCCTAAAGCGTTCCCAGTCCCACGCAGATTCGAACACTTGGCGAAAGGACCGGGTCCACAATCCCGCGCAAAGCATTCGCAATTAGATGGAGCCAGGAGAAGGGCGCTCTGTTGATTTCCATACTCTAAATTTGATGGCAAGACTTTTTCTCGGAGACGACTTGGCGCCCGAATTCTACCCCCTGACGCTGATTCCGGTTGTTCCGGCTGCCGAGAAAAACCACGGGAAGTGAACCCCGTCATCCACGACTCCCAAGTTTCCTTATGTGCAAGCAAGTGGGTAGAGTCCGACTCGAAATGATTGGATGATCCACCAGAAAAGGAACTCCCACATCCCTTTTTTCGACGTTCTTCCCACCGTCAGTCCATAATTGGATTACAGTGATTCAGCGTGGAGACCGGGCGACTGCGAGCAAGGAGGCTCTAATGAAAACTGGGTTTTTTGGCTTACGATTTATTGTACGTTGCCGGGCGCAATCACACACGCGTCAAGGAGGGCTTGGGTCGCGTGCCCTCCTTCCTGCGCCGAGCCATTCTTTTGCCTGTGCTTGGCTGGAGTGATACCGTAATGGATCATGGATGGATGGTGGACATGTGGGATGGGGTGTGGGACGTCAGGTCGTCGTGTCTCCAGTCCCGCTCCGCCCTCCCTCCTTCAACGTTCAACGCCCCCAACTCTCCTATCAGATGGTTCCGTGCGGTTACGCCCACACGTGTGGTCCTATTCCTGCTCAACTTTCAAGGCTGGGCGGAATTCCCAATGCCTGGGGCGCCGATCTGACAACAATGCTTGGCCACGAAATGCTGCGGTTGGACTTGGTACACCTTCCGCCCGTTGTGGGTTTGTCCCGGTGAAGCGGACTCTGGGGCATTGTGCCTAGGATGTTTATTAGTCTTGTCGTCCCTCTCTCCTATTTCTCCATGCGAAAGGGTTTCTGGTGGATTTGGCATTTTCATTGTAATATCTTCTCGTCACTCACTCCTTTCTTCTCTGCTTTGGGGAAGCGAAAGCTATTCATTCATTCTGCTTGCTCGTCAGGACAGCCTTGTCCAACTACATCTTTCACTTACTCAATACCAAACAAGAGTTCAATTTTCTGTGTTTAGCCTATTATGGCTTCGTCACTTGGCGCTTTGAGGAATGTGGCCGAACCAGCTTGTAAGTCCATCCCGCTCCACTGGCTCGGATTTCTTCCTATAGTATACTTAGACCATATGTCTTTACCTCTACGAGTCCAGGCCTCATCTGACGTCCTTTGCTCTTCTAGTCATCGTTTTTGCCTTCACCATAGGCACTCTCATCAACCGCCGCCGACTGGATCGTGACGATGACGTAGACTCGTGTGAGCGTGGGTCGGAGGATTCCTCCTCCCGCCCCACCTCTCCACTCCTCAAGCCGGGGATGCGCGCGGAGTCGGGCGAGGTATCCCGCATCAACAGCAAACTTCTCGTTCGATTTTATAATACCTTCCCGTTCCTTGCTGAAATCTGGTATTGGAATGCGACGTACTGGTACGAGATCGTCTTGCCCGCGTTAACAATTCAGGTAACGTTGTTATGAACCGGCGCTGACCGGCTTGTTTGTCTCCTAGGATATACCAGCTGCTCCGTGCCTTCTCGGCACGTATGATTGCCGGTAACGAAGCAGTCTTTGCGAGGGCCCGCGACCATGCGATTTCTATTCTGAAGTTCGAGCACTTCTTCGGCATTGACGTCGAACTTGGCGTGCAGAAATATGTCCTTACAAACATGCCCTGGTTGATGTCTTACTTGGCCAAGATCTACTACTTCCACATTAGTCTCGGCATCATCTTCATCATCTACTGCTACACATTTCTTCCGCCGAGCACGTTTCAGAGAATCCGACGAACTATCGCCATGGACAATGCCATCGCCTTCGTCATCGTCACGACCTATCGTTGCATGCCGCCGCGCATGCTCCCGGCCGAATACGGATTCGAAGATGTGCTCCACGGAGCCAAGGGAGGAGGCAACGCGTGGACGCACAACAAGTTCCAGCTGACCATCGCCGCGATGCCGAGTCTTCACTGCGGTACCGCTCTCTTCCTCGCCTGGAGTATCTGCCGGTTTTCGCCTCACCGTCCGCTTCGTCTTATCGCGCCACTGTGGCCGATGGCTATGCTCTTCACGATCGTTGCAACGGCGAATCACTTCATCTTGGATGCTATGATTGGTGCGATGGTCCCTATCATCGGATGGAGGTTTAACCGGGCTATCTTGGTGTTGCTGCCGCTGCAGAATTGGGTGTTGGAGAGGCTGGGGTTGAAAACCCCCGAGGATGAGGACAATACTCCGGCATATGTCCCGAAAGAGTGGTAAGAGAGAGCATGTTCCGTTGAAAGGAATATGAAGGATTCAGTGGGACACAGAGCAAAGCAATAATATCAATAGACAAGTGCGCTAACGATGACATATTCCAAACAAATGATCGGATCGGATATCGGGGCCACACGCCTCCTGTGTTCTGACCCCTTGAGAAGTTCAAAGGCCCAGCTTGAGTCTCCAAGTACTCGTGCTCTTACAGTAAGGAAATGCCAGGGATGTCAAAGTACGATTCACCTGCTTACGCATCTGTCAAGACGACGAAGAATCCAACTGGGCAACCATCTTTGCTCTGCTGGAAAATGAAGGTGGTGTCCGGCGAGCAGAGACTTCCTGATACAGTCACACTTCCCGGAACCTCAGCTGGAATGCCGCATGGGGCACTATTGACAATCTGCAGGCACTACCATCAGTAACTAAATCGACGGCGGTCTACATCGGATTCTGTTGACGTTCAATACTCACATAGCTGTGGCCGGGTGTCATCGTGGGCGGGGGGTTAGGCGGGCTAGGGCCGGGAGCAGGCTGCTTGTTATATGTGGTCTGCCCAGCGACGGCTCCGACGCCAATGGCATACCCGGTGAACTTAAAGGTACCTTGGCCGAGGAAAACGAACTTCCCAGGTGCCTGCTCCCATGAAGGGAAGTCGAAGACGAGGTTGCACACCTTGCCCTGGGTCTGGGCGACGGGCAGATCGAGGTTGAAGACTGTGCAAATATCCTTGGGTGTCACCTGCGCCCATTGCGTCGCCGGGAAGGCATAATTGGGCAGATTCTTGGAGATGGGGACAAGAAGGCTAGTCGAGACGTAGGATTTACCAAGGCTGCCATCGGGCTGGGCGGCGTTGACGGGGCAGCTGGCCTTACCGCCACGTTTGGTTGTGGAAGTGGTGGCGCTGGGTGCGGCGACGACGGAGAGAGCGAAGGTGAGGGCGCTGGTGACGGTAGCAATCTTCATGATGGCGGTTATATTGCGATTGAGTGCTTTAACGAGCGGCGATTGAGTGCTTTAACGAGCGGCGATTCGTGGTTCAAGAGGCGATGAGTGAGACGAGGAGCCTGGAGACGATGAAGTAGGCGACAATGAGCAAGTGAGCAAGAACTCTCTCGCCAAGAGATGAGAAAGAGGCCTTCATATACATCGAGTTGGCTCTGCTGGAAGGCTAAGTACGTGATGGTCCCGGACTATAGCTTGGACGTAGCAATCGTCATTGCTCGATGAAGTTTAGTTTTCTTCCACCACAAAGAAGCTTTCGACGTGGAGCGCCTTCGACCCCAAGCTCGCGTGCTTTGAATTGCGATGTTCTAGCGCCGTCACGAGCGGCTAGCGATGGATCGGCGCTTCATCATTTTAGATAGTCCTGAAAGGGGGAATAGAGTTTTACCGTTGGATCACCAGTGCTTGAGTTTCTTCTTTCTCTTTACGATCGCCGTTGTGGCTTCCCATAGCCTGCTGAAGTGGCGTATTTTGGCGCCGGCCACGAGATTTCAGCTCCGTGCCCGAGCGCGGCATCGCGGCACGAATGGACTCAGAGGTTGACTATCGTCAGCGCTAGATCTTACAGCATCCATCCACTCAGTGAAATGATATGCTTCTCTCGGTGTCCTCTCAGCCCCGCGGAGTGCACTAGTTTGTCCGAATCCTACACCGTGGTGGCGTCGCGACGGGTTGTCATGTCGAGGTTGGTGAATGATGTCGTCGTCCAGCAACGCAGGGTCAAAATACAATGATCAGAAATCAGAGAGTTGCGTGGCGCGCTGAGGACATCGTGATTCGAATTATTCAGAGAGACCTTAACTAGCCTGATTCAATACCTGGTACATATCCGCAGCTGAGCCTTTTCCGTTAGGGCAGTTTATCAGCTTTACTCCCGGGTGCTGACCTTGCTAAGCTTCCTCTTGGCCACACTGCTAGTATCACCGACGTCCTTCCCCAAATCACTCTTAGAATTCTGGCCATCAATGATGACATTGTTCGAGTAGACAACCCCATCAAAGATTTCATCCATCTCCTCCAAGGTTCTGCCCTTGGTTTCGACAAACAGCCAAGTAACGACAAATAGTATTCCAAGATTCCAACCACCGTTGATGGCATAGTATCTCCAAGAGATTCTTTCGATAGCAAGAGGAGTGGTGTAAAGGTTGAGGAAGCTGAATGCATACCCGATTGCTTGGGCAACTACGACCCCTTTAGCGCGCTGAGAGTATCGCAGCACCTCAGGAGGGTAGGTGTAGGCCAAGATGCTCCTGCACGAATTTTAGTAAACTTGAGGAAATTGAGAGCTCGTTCACATACCAGCTTGCCGCAACTGCAAGTAGGAACAGGGCAACAACGACAATCGCACCGATGGCATACGCATTTGTCTCGGGATGGACCTCGGTCAGGTAAGACAGGCCGGCCAGAATTCCAAACAGAACAACTGTGGCGGAAGTTCCGGTAACTAGGTAGAAAGATAAGGAGGTCAGATCAATCCAGCGGAAAACTAGTGTCGAGGGGCATCTACTCAATGGCTTGCGAGCTCCTATCTTGTCGATGATGAGGACACCGCCCACGCTGCAAAAAGCCTTCCACAGCAGCAAACCGATGTTGATCTGGATTACAGACTTCCTCTCAGAAACTCCTAGTTTTCCAATCAAGAATGACGAGAAGTATCTAGAAGATTTCGTCAGCGCTAGAACAATCAGAATGTGAGTATGTCCTTGTAACATACAAGATCATATTTCCGCCCAGAATTTGATAGAAGATATTCGTTAGTACAGCGATTGTGAACCGTTTCAGGTTTGGGGCTGATGTGTTTCCCCGTTAGTTAGTTGTCAACTCGGCGACTCATCTTGGCTGAAGCTGGCTCACATGGCGCAATGAGATCTTTCCATCCTCCATTGCTCTCCTTCTCGTGGTTCAAAGCCGAGACAATTTCTTGTGTTTCCGAAAGCACCAAAGCATCTTCCCGGTTTCCGTTCGCATGTAATCGAGCGAGCACCCCTATTGCCTTGAGAATGTTCAGTCGAATGACCCTAAACCAGGAGTATGTTTCACATCGTTACCTCGTCATGGCGGCCCTTTGAAAACAACCAGCGTGGGCTTTCGTCGACGAATGGTAAGAGAGACAGGGAGATGATAGAAGGCACTGCTTCTCCCTGTTTAAGAGACATCAGATAGAGCCTTGATGTTGTCTCAAGGGGATAGGCACTTACAAGCATAAGTCCCCTCCATGTCCAGTCGGACTGCTTGTCGTAGATGCCCAGGACAATGCAACTGACCAAGAACGACGTGAAAGGTACGGATGTCAAGACGGTGCTTGAAAGAATTGAGCTATACTTGGGCGCCGCCACCTCCATAACCCACATGGGAGCAATGGAACCATTAATGAGGGAGGCAAATCCGATAATGAAGCGGCCGACGATGAGCTGTGGAACTGCGTTTCTGGTGAGTAGTCGTACTTGCAAAACGTTTCCGCAAGAGCTCTCACCCTTCGAGGCCGAAGCTTGAAGTACAACTCCGAGAATGATACAGATGGAGCCAACGGCGAGGCCGGTCTTCCGTCCCCAACGATCAACGACGGGACCCACTATCGGGGCACCGAAGATCGAACCGGCACTAATGATGGCAACATTCAATCCAATCATATCGCTATTCAACTTGAAGTCTATTGAAAGTCATTAGCTATGGAACCTGGGTCGGGCAGATAATCGCACAGTCTTGGTATGGCTTAACCGAGTTCAAGTTGTTGATCATCCCAGCATCATAAGAAAGAATGCAGATGTTCAACATGGCCACGAGGACCATGAGCACGTGTGAGACGATTGGCCCGGGGGTGAGCAAAGCCATGATGGCGGAGGATCCACGATGCGGAAGTGTATTTTCTGCTGGTGTTACAGTCGGAGTCTGAGTTTGAGGTTTAATTGTCTCCGTAGACTGGCAGTCGGGTGTACTCAAGTGTTGGTTGTGGTGATTTGGGGGATCTAAAGTCAATGTAGCAGTTGTCAACTCATTCGCAGACAACTCAAAAATCTCTTCTTGACGTTGATCTGAGCGCTGAGCCGGCCACCTGCGCATTTTTCTCTTTTTTCCAGGTACGCGTTAGAGATACCACACACTCTCTTGCTACACACCATGAAGCGATAGATAAGACATTCCGGGTTAGATCAACGAACCCACGAGTGTCCGGTGATAGGGGTGCACCTGAACCAAACGCCGTAGATTCAGAGACAGCGCGCGCTGTCTGGCTGTGTGCGTGCTGAGTTGTGCGGCATGCTCATAGCTGAGCGGCGTATTTCCCGAGAGTGCCGAGCTTTAGGCACTAGCTTCGGCCGAATGCCTCAGGCTAACATTATAGTTCCCCCCTTCCCCCCTTTATGATCGCAAAATGGGAATTCCCAAGGACCCTCAGTTCTGTACAGTATGTGTGACGAATTCCCGTACAGATGTGCATCCGCCACTAGGTTTCGTCTCCGATGTTACGACTGCGCTATCCGTACACACCAGCAGTGTCTCAATCGGCTTTCAAGTTCCAGAGCCCGAGTATAATGGTTTACCGACGCAGGCAGGAACCGGTTTGAGAGTTCTGACTCAGCATGGTACGTGGCATGGTAGAGACGGAATGCCCGCCGAGAAAGCATTTCCAGTTCAGCTGGGCGCTGAGAATTCGGCAGATGTAATTTGCAGGGAGTGTACGGAGTCCCTGCACCCACCCACAACATCTCGATATTCTCGTAGGGAGTAATAGTGCAAGCAACATCACATCGCGATAGACTCACTGCAACGTCAATCTCTGAGAACTCATGCCAGGCCAAGAATTCAAGATCCCCCCAAAGTCGTTTCCATACGCTCATGGTTTCATTGTCTACTTACCACAATCCTTGGCATATGTGCTTTCGCTCGCCCTTTTACTCATTTGGCATGGGAGAATTGGCAAGTCTTTATGAGAGTAAACTTGGCCGTCCATTCTTAAACACAGCGAATCGTATGGAGTTTTTGAGTTTTCGAACGTAACTACACATTTCAAACCTGATACTTCGGATCAATATTCCAACATTTCTAAATCATGCATCTAGTATGCGTGCCAATGCTATATACTCTAATAAGTTGGTTACGTAACAACTCAAAGCATTCTTATGTGTGTGAGCTTCATCAAAAATTCAAATCACCAGTACCCGCCAGGGGGCGGAGCCACAGCTACATCGTTAAGATGTCCCGTGACACCGTTTTTGATGTCCTTAGCAACCTTGGGAAACTGCTCTCTTGCAAACCCCAAAGGGTCCCAGGGCTTCAGCTTGGGGAACCGCTTCTTGGCCCACTCTTCCGGGGCCGCCTCGATGTCATCCCAGGGAATCTTGTAGAATGCGTCTCTATTCTGTTGTCCGCTCTTGTGCACTGCATTGGACCGATGGTACCGGATCCGTTGTGCGGCTTCAAGTGCTAGTTTGACGTCTCCGTTGGATGACTGTAAACACTCAGCAACCGTCACCGCGTCTTCGAGAGCTTGAGAAGCGCCTTGTCCGGCAGTAGGAAGGTTGGCATGAGCAGCATCTCCGATGAGAATCGTGCGGCCACCTTTGCTAACCCAAGTGTCTATGGTTGGCCGATAGACCAGCTTGAAATCGATGGTCTTGTTAGAAGGTGTAACGTCGAGGAGCGCTTGTGCATCTCTTCCTGGGAAGAAACTCATCCACTTTGCTACATGTTCTCTTTCGGCGATATTGGACCAAGATTCAGATGATTCTTTGTCGTCCTATCAACGTGAGTCAGTAAGTAAGTTATCGACATTATCTTGGGTAAACGCTGAAGCGCTCACCGGATGAACCAAGACCCAGGCAATATCTTGAGCTTGGTTCCAAACAAAGGCCATCAGGCTCAAGTTGTCATACATCCAGAATCGAACAGTATCTCTATCCTCGTGGAAAAGATCCTTGATTCCGGGGTGATTTCTCATCGTTTCGTCAGTCTTGAAGAAGCTTCTGAACACAGACCAGCCGCTCGTGGTCTCGTCGATCTTCTTGTCGTCAAGATGCAAAACCTGTGCTCGAGCGATGGATCGTGGGCCGTCTGCGGCGATGACACAGTCGGCCCAAATAGTCTCGCCAGTGCTTAGCTTCACACCTGCTTGGCTTTCTTCTTCAAGGTAATCCGTGACTGAGACGCCGATCCTGATGTCCTGGACACAGGTCTTCGCATAAGCAAGGAAAATCGAGTGAATCTTGCCTCGGTGGCCTGCATAGGTGATGTTGTGTTCTTTTCCATCCCTTGCCCACGGAACATCAACGATGAATTTGCTATCGTACTTGTACAGCTCCATGGTGCGGATTTGACTACAACCTGTGTCGTGAATTTGCTGGCCAACCTTGCCTGCATCCCATCGATTGATGATACGGCCAGCATTGGGGAAAAAATCAAGAATATCTGCCAAGGAGAACCGTAGTGAGTTTCGTAGATCATTGCGACCAAAGCTCTGCCACACAAAAAGAGGGGCGGTTTGGTGATGCTTACCACCTTGGCTATTGGAGTCAGGATACTTCTCCAACACCGTGACATCCATGCCACGGTGTGCACATTCGATTGCGGCTCCAAGCCCGCCGAAGCCGGCGCCAACAATGATGACTTTCAATTTCTTGCCGGCAGTCATTTTTATAGATTTGTGTGGAGTGACTGTAAATAAAGTAGAGAGTACGATGCGTTGATACTCCTTTTTCAGACCAGATGGCCAGTAGTTGCAGCTTCAGACTGAAATATATGAAATCTCGGACATTGGACTGGAGACGTTTGGTATCTTGGCACGAGGGAGAATCACTCGATGCATCATGAATGATTGCAAGCATGGAATGCCGCGGCACCCGAATTCCAGCGAACCATCCTTCCAACTCGGGGTCGCCAGCCGAAGGCCCGAGATGCCCGAGATAATGCCTCTTACCCACCTTCGCCGTCTTACTAGACCCATTGCTCCAACGACATGGGCCAACTGAATTGCAACTAGTCATAGTAATCTCAGGTCGTGAGCCATTTCTTGGACTTGAGACAATAATTTGAAAGCATATTGTGGCGAAGGGCTTCGTCATTTTCTTATTGACATTACCACCCTTTGCTGTTGTTCACTACATTCAATCCTAAGTCGAGAAAACTTCCCGCTAGACTCGAAAATGGCGACCATCCAACAAGACCAAAAACAGGATGTGCGAGTGATTCAAGTCGCCCAGAATGGATCTAATCATGTTCCCAAATTTGAGACTCTACAAGTCCACGCAGGGCAAACTCCTGACTCTGCAACGCTTGCGCGTGGGGTCCCGATCTACTCGACCTACGTCTTCAACTTCCACAGTTCAGCTCATGCTGCTCGGCTATTTAACCTTGAGGAAGAGGGTGAAATTGCGACCCGCACGGGCAATCCAACTACAGCCGTGGTTGAACGTCGTGTCGCAGCCCTTGAAGGTGGCGTTGCAGCCGTGGCAGTTTCGTCCGGTCAGGCAGCCGTGTTCATGACCATGGTTGCTTTGGCTGGGCACGGTGAGAACATTGTAGCGACGAAGCATTACTATCACGGCGCATACAATCAATTCTCTTTTCTCCTACCAGAGTTCGGCGTAACATGTCGCGTCGTGGAAGAATCTGTGGAAGCAGTCCGAGCAGCAATTGATGAACGCACCAAAGCCGTCTATATCGAAACTATCGGACACCCCAACTTCAATGTTCCGGACATCGAAGCCATTGCGCAAGTTGCTCATGAGAAGGGAGTTCCTCTTGTAGTCGAGAACACCGTCGGGTGCGCATACTTCTGCCAGCCCATAAAGCACGGAGCAGACATCGTCGTCGAGAGCATGAGCAAGTGGATCGGCGGTCACGGGAGTGCAACCGGCGGTATCATCGTCGATTCTGGCAATTTTGACTGGAGATCTTCGACTCGGTTCCCACAGTTCAACAAACCATGTCCTGGCTTCCATGGGTTGAACTTTTCCGAGCGATTTGGGAGAGAGGCCTTTATCATGCGCATTCGAGGGCAGATCCTCCGAGACGTTGGATCCTGTCTTTCTCCTTTCAACAGCCAGCAGTTCGTGCTCGGGATCGAGACTCTGAGTCTGCGCTGCGAGCGACACGCTCAGAATACCATTGCTCTCGCGAACTGGCTTGAGAAACACGAGAACGTAGTGTGGGTTTCGTATCCTGGTCTTCCTAGTCACCCTCACTATAAGCTCGCGCAGAAGTATCTACCCCGCGGAGCTGGGGCGGTACTTATGTTTGGAATCAGGGGCGGAGCGGATGCTGGTGAACAGCTGGTTGACAACTTCAAGATGATCTCGAATAACCCAGGGTAAGTGACGAATACCGTGCCGTTGGCACCCACCTGCTACTTGTGCTGATTTATAGTTAGATATGGAGACGCGAAAACGACTGCCATGCACCCCTGGTCGACAACACATAAACCTATGCTACCACAAGAAAAGATCGATCTTGGCGTTGCGCCGGAAATGGTCAGAGTTTCAGTTGGCATCGAGCACATTGACGATATCATCCACGACATTGAACAGAGCATGAGCATCAGTCCCGCTGTCCCAAAGGCATAGATTGGACAAGAGCTCGTGTCCCTAGACACTTAGTATTAAATATTCAGCTTGCTTCTGTTTCTAATTCTGGGCTGCCAAGTGCGTAAAGTACTTTTTCAAACGTATGATCATCTGGCTTTGCTGGGCTCATAAGATTCTATGGTGTTTACCTGCCCACGTGGTGTGTTTCTCATCAAGCCGGTTCATATTTGCACTCCACATATTCAATACACAAAATACTAGTATGAGTATCATCACTACAATACATCACTACAATATACACAAGTACTTGAAGCTACCTAATCTTGAATATCTGCTCTCTGGGGATCTGTGGTAACCTGCGCAATGTCATCATCAAGGTTCTTGTCCCAAATCCAACTCATCCTGTTTTTCATAATCTCCGTGATCTTCCCAAGATCATCCTCCTCAGCTTCAAAGTGCCACAAGTGACCAGCTTCTCGGCTTGTAGCAACGAGATTTTGCGTGCGTTCAACTCGAGCTCGACTGAAGGATTTGAAAACGCCA